TAACTCCCGTATCTTCCACAACTTGCACCGTTCAAATTATGTAAGATCTGGCAGATCAAGTTAAGATCTGGAATATCATATTCATATGTAGAAGATCAACTTAACATGACCAAGTTGATATCAAGTTAAGATCCACAACTTCCCCACAACTGCCAGAACTAGTTGTGGGCATCACAGTTTGGTCCTTGACGGTCGTCGTAGTTCCGGTTCTGGTTCCGGTTCTGGTTTCGGTATTTTTTTTGTTGCGCCCAAGGACGCCTCAGATTTTGGTTATGGTTGTGGTTCCGGTTCCGGTTTCGGTTTCTTTCTTCTTCCGCGTCCCGAAGAAGGCCTCCAAGGTCACGGTTCCGGTTCCGGTTCCGGTTTTGGTTCCGGTTCTGGTTTTTTGTTCTTCTTCTTCCTTGCTTTGTGCGCCGCCGAGCTTTGCTGACTTGCATTTGGTTTGCTAGCGCGTCCAACCCATCTTGTAAACCTGCTAACGATTGATATAACCCATGTAGTTATATGTTTCTGGTTCATAAGTGGGTCTTTAACTACCATCTGGATAATGGGCTTATAACTGCATGGGACCCACATCGTACGCATTTGTGTACATTTGGGCACTTCGTCATAACCATTTCGCAAACGGTCGAGATTCATGTTGTAAACAATTGCCGATTATCGTATCCAGTTTTGCGGAGGTGGAGACAGTTAGCGAGGTTATCTGTACAGATACGTTCTAGTTAGGTTCTAGTTAGGTTCTAGTTAGGTTTTAGTTCGGTTCTAGTTCGGTTCTAGTTAGGTTCCACTTGCGCATCAGTTATTTAGGCGCAAATGCGGTGCAGCAGAGTGACACATGACCGCATCAGAAGTGCATCATCCTCTTCCTCTTCCCCCAGGTCCAGTTGTCCCTCGTAGCCCCCTCTCGCCAGCGTGCGGGGCGCTGAGCTCTGGAGGAATCGACCCCATCTGACGCTGGCCCCCCTCCTCCTCCTCCTCCTCCTCCTCCTCCTCCGCCCTCCCGCTGGTCCTTCCCTTCCTGCTCGTGCAACTCCTCCTCCTCAACCTCCTCCCCCTCCTTCTCCTCCTTCTCCTCCTTCTCCTTCTCCTCCTTCTCTCTCCTCCTCCTCCTCCTCCTCCTCTTCCTCCTCTCCTTCCTCCTCCTCCTCCTCCTCCTCCTCCTCTCCTCCTCCTCCTCCTCCTCCTCCTTCTCCTCCTCCTCCTCCTCCCCCCCCTCCCCGCCGGCTGTCCATTCTGGTTCGAACGGGCGGGCCGGCACCTGCGGCGGTCCTGGCTTCGATGGCGATCGGCCGTGGGCAGGCCAACCCCCCGCCGCCCCGACGTCCTCCTTCTCGCCCTCATCTGGCACCCAGGGCCTTCTCGGAGCGTTTATGGGACCGTTGTGGGCCGTCCTTGGGCCCTCTCAGGGCCCTCTGCCCTCGTGGGCCCCCGCGGTGGTGCAGAGCAGGTGGTTGTAAAAAGCGTGTTTTTTCTTGGGCCCTTCCCGAGATGGCCGAGTGCGGGTCCCGAGGGCTTCGGGGGCGTCTTACCCGCCCCCCCATGGGGCTGGCCTTTGGGCTCCCAGGGTGGGCCCCGAGGGTTTCGGCGGCGTCTCGGCCCCCCCTGCTGTCGTCAGGGTTGCAGGGTGGCCGAGGGGCTCGGCGGGGCCCCGCGAGAGCCCCGCGAGGGCTCCAGGAGAGCCCCAAGTGGGGTTTTCCCTGGGACATCCCAAACGCATGCCAAATACATTCCCGTTGGGGCAGGTCCCTCACAGCGCGCCATGGACCCCGAGAGGGCACCGAGAGCCTTGCATCCGACGAAGATCAGGGGAAGGTCACCCGAACGAGGTCTGGGCGTTGCAGACATCATCATCATCGCCGTTACCACCACCGACGCCATCATCGCAACCATTCCGTAGCCAATGTCGGCTCGAGGTGCAGCGGCCGTGAACGCGGCCAACAATCGATGCAAAACACAGTTTTGCTCGGGCCGACCCCTATACCAGGCAATGCTGGCACGCTGAGCAGGCAAGAGCGACTGCCCGTATCTACTGAATATGGTTGCCACGCCGTCGTGAGGGCAAGGAGGCGCGGCAACCGCACGCTGCAAATCATTGGGCCGCGTGATCAGATCAACGCTGCTTGGGATTACGCCATGCGCAGGGTCATACTCAGTGCGATGGGGGCTCGCTGCGCGTGGCATGGAGTGAGTGCGTTGACGCGCATGTCTGGAACACAGGGTCAGTGGGGGACCCTGCTCTGTCCCACATGGCAGCTGCAATGCCTAGATGAGCACGCCAACCACGACAAGTTGCCAGCCGCTGGATTTCGCGCTCGCCTACGACATGGCGAACTCGAGCCTGCTTACGTCCACGCAGCATGTCTGAGCGCTGAACTTCAATCAGATGATCGCAGAGCCCGCGTGTGCTACGATAGCCCTGCTTTGAAGGCTCATGTTCGCTAGCTCCATTCACCGAGGGATCGCTCCCTGCCAATCTCTGCGCTGCGAGCGCTGTACAGTTTGCGCGGGGTCATTGCGGTCCACCTGCGACGCATTCGCAAGCATCAAACCATGTCGTGGCGCGTCGGGTGCTGGAACAAATCCCGCTGTCTTTGTCGGCGCCGCTGAACCACGTAAATATCAACTCTCGACGGTCCGCGCGGATTTCTTGGATTCGCGCTGGGCCCCCCTCCCCGGCGCGCCGGGGGCGCCGCCGGGGGGCCCCGGCGCAGATGTAAGAAACGCGCGCGGAGCGTCGAACATTTATGTTCATTGTTTGTCTTCTTCAAGTTGATCTATCCCGAGAGTTCGCATGGGCGCCTGGTGTCGATTGATTCTCATGCACTTTTGAAGTTTCTTTCTTCGGCCCTCCCCCCCGCCCTCCGCCAGGCGATCGCCCCGAGCCGCGCGGATGAGCTCGGCGAAGAGACCCGGGCTCGCGATCGCCTCTGCTGCTCCGAGTGTCAGCCTCCGCAGTGCGTCGCGCATAGTTGACGCCGCGTTGCGACAGTGCTCGCCGATTCCATGTGCAGAGTGCGATGGCGATGCTGACCCCAGAGGTGGAGCGTCTGTGGTGGCTGCTCTCAGGAGGGACCTGAATGTGTTTTGCAATGCGCAAACTCCATGTGGGAGGCCAGGCGGCATTGAAATTGTTGCCGCGGCGCTGCCGGCTGCGACGCAGCCCAGCGCTTCTAATCGCCCCCTGGGGGGTGGATTGCATGCGCTGGGCTGGGCGCAGCACGCGTCGTCGCAGCAACTATGTCAGCTCGGCCTAGGCGCGTCGACGTCATGCAGCTCGCCACGCAGTCTGGCGACAATATTGACGTTCACTATGCTAACCCAATGGCGTTGCTACATGTATCTTGTGCGGGGAACGATCGTTTTAGTAAGTTTCTGCGTGATTCGGTCGGCGACTCGGTCGCCGACCTCATCCTCTACGCAGACGAATGTACGCCTGGCAACGAGCTGCGGCCAGATAAAGGTGGGTTGCCATGGGCGACGTCATACCACCTCCTCCTCCGCCTCCACTTGCCCCTCCTCGGCCTACCTCCTCTCTCCAGCGCCGTCCTCCTAGACGTGGGAATGATTCGGGGCAGGGCGTCCAGAAATCACGCATCCCCCCCCCTTCCAACCGGCGCTATTGCATCCTCCCGAGGGCGCCAAGTTCTGGGAGTATACTGGACGCTGAAGCAATTTCCGGCACTCGGGCGAAACATGGAAGATCAGGCGGAGGTTGAGGGGAAGGGGAAGGAAGAGGCGGAGGAGGTGGACGAGGAAGAGGAGGAGGAGGAGATAGGGCGAGGAGGACGTGGAGGAAGAGCCCCCCCCCCGTGCAATGCCCCCAGGAATGGTGGCGCAAACGTTACTTCTCGTGGTTTGTGTTTTGCGTTGTACCGACGCGCTTCTTGGAACAAGTCGAGGGTGGGTTGGCAGTTCTAATGGCTAAGATCATCAAGACCTTTTTTTTTCCTGAACGTGGTTGGAACTTCCAGGCCGCAGGTATCATGCTACCGACTGCTGTAGGGCAGCGGCATTTGATGGTTCGGCTCTGCACGTTCATCCAGGACGAAAAAGCATACAAGCAGATGTGGTATATCGCAGGAGCAGGGGGCACGAAACCACGCTGTCTCTGCCGGAATATTGTTTCGAGGACGTGCGGGATCGCCGGCGACGCATACTCTCGCAACGTCGGAGAGGCTAGGAAAGCAGACCTTCATCTGCGCACCCCACTTTCGATGCTTGGGCAACGCCTCTCCGCCATGCACCCAGGGGCCTTTGGCAACTTGTTGATGGTGGTGGTGGTGGGTCGTTAAGTTCGGGCTCGGTCGGTGTCGTCCAGATCTTTGCGCGCAGGCGATCCCCCATCGGGTCTACGTGGGTCTGTTGATGGGCATCGTTGTCCCCCTCCTCTTCCCCCCCCTCCACCGCTTCCTCCTCCCCCATTTGCCCCCCCCCTCTTCCTTCCCCCTCCTCGCTCCTCTTATCTGGCACGCTCGGTAACTCCAATGTTGTGAGAGGGGTGCGGATTAGAAACACATTGGGCTTGGCCGAGGCATTTTGCCAGCGAGTGCCGCGCCCATCAGTTAGCGCAATCAAAGGGCAGAACAAGCTGCTTGGCTACAAATACCAACCTCATGGCATTCTTTACGATCCCCACGCTCGTGGGATCGTCGAACCGTCCACTATGACATACTACGACATAATGCATTGCATGTTGTCGAGCGGCGGGGTGCTTCAGTCCCAAGTGAACGAGACTGTGAACCTCATCACGTCAGAGACAGATATTGCCCTCGCACATCTAGATGGGTTCGCAGCCACCGTCACCCCGCCAAAGTCATATACACAAATGCCGCCTAATTTTTTCCCAAACCCGCATCGTGAGGGGGGGGGGGGGGGGGGGGTGTGCATTGCCGTGCATTCGCAGGAGAAATGCTTACAGTGCTCCCGGTATTGATGTTATTCGGGGAAGTCGTTCTCAAACCAATGGGGGAGTATCCTTTGCATTGCAAGTGCCTGGAGCTCGCTGGGGAATTGCTCGACTGGTTGATTCTGGCTCCAATCGAAACCATTATGCCGAACCTTGGACGGTTGGAATCACTCGTTGATGAGCATGCCGGGTTAGTTACTCGGATCTTTGAACACGCAGAGAGACCCAAAGTGCATTACCTTTTGCACATCCCCGAGAGCATCAGAATGCACGGCGTCAGTCTGAACTGCTTTGGCCCTGAACGCAGACACAGACAGGTCGAAGGAGTTGCAGCCCACGCATACGCAGGTCAGCTCGACGTCCACCCGATCAAAAAGCTGACCCACCAGCACGTGGAGGCACTCAAGGAGGAAAATTCTTGCGTGACAACTTGGATCCCTCGGCCAATCGAGGCGCTGGGCATCGTGCCTTGGGCCGCGGGGTGGAAGTGGCAACATGCCCCCCCTCCTCCTCCTCTCGCCCCCCCCAATCCCCCGCCTCCTCCGCCCGCCCCCTCCTCGTCATCATCCTCCCCCGCCCGCACCCGAAGGATCTGTTTCGTGCTCGGCGTCCCCATGGCGCCGGGCTTCAGGGCCCAGGCGGGAAACGTGATGCACTGCCAGCTGGGAGACGTACATTCTGGTGATCTTGTGTTGGGCAGGGACGCCGGCATCCCTTTCGTTGGCAAGGCCGGCCTCTTCGTGAGAGTAGGTGACAATTACTACTGCTGCGTTGATGTGTTCACTCCATCAGGCCCAGGCACTTACGCGTCTGCTGGGAATGTGCCCAAGTTGGCGCACGTCGACACACTTGCGTACGTGCTTGCTTTCGCCGTGGTTCGCGGTGGCGTGCGACCGCTAGTTCCTCGCCTGAGGTGGGCCCTGTGACATCGAGCAGCAAAATGTTTCAACGCGTGCAAGGTTGCCATCGCGTTATGTTTGCATGGCGATCGTTGGAGGCCAGTTGCTCTGGGCCGCGCGGGAGATTGTCTCGGCGGTTCATTGCGTTGCGCATTGCTTGTGTAGCCAGTTGCAGTGGAACTGGCGATCGTTCGGAGCACAGCTGCTTGGAACCGCGCAGGATAATTGCAAACAGTTACAGTGGTCGCTGCGCCAACAGTAATATCATTGAGAGGAGGGGGCGGTGCTTGGGGGGGCAGGGGCGCTGGAGAAGGAGGACGAGAGGGAGGGGGGGGCGGGGCGAGGAGGAAGAGGGAGGGGGGGGGCGGGGGGGGGACGAGGAGGAAGAGTGAGGAAAGGAGGTGGGCCCTGAGACATTGAACAGCAACATGTTTCAACGCGTGCACGTTCGCCATCGCGTTATGTTTGCATGGCGATCGTTGGGGGCCAGTTGCTCTGGGCCGCACGGGAGACTGTCTCAGGGGTTCATGTGCGCATTGTTTTTGTAGCCAGTTGCAGTGGGACTGGCGATCGTTCGGAGTGCAGCTGCTTGGAACCACGCAGGAAAATTGCAAACAGCTGCAGTGGTCGCTGCGCCAACAGTAATATCATTGAGAGGAGGGGGCGGTGCTTGGGGGGGCAGGGGCGCCGGAGAAGGAGGGCGAGAGGGAGGAAGGAGCGGGGCGAAGAGGAAAAGGGAGGGAGGGACGGGGGGGGGGGGCGAGGAGGGAGAATGAGGAAAGAGGGGGATCAGACGGACGATGACGACGCGCGAGAGAGAAAAAGGGAACGAGGCGTTGGGGGAAGAGGTGCAGGGGGGGGGGAGGGAAGGAGTGTGGGGGCCCCTTTGGGACCGAGGTGCGAAAAGGCATCCAAAAGGGGCAGTGCCAAATGCCCTCCAATCGTCTGTGCGCGGAAATAGCGTGAACCTGGCCCGCTCATCCCGTCGCTGCTGCTGCTGCTGCTGCTGCTGCCCCCCCCTCTGGCCCCTCTTCGAGGCCATTGGTTTCCGAGGAAAGCATTAACACAGCGGACGGAGAGGCCTAAGTAAATCTGCTAACATCAAAAAACCTCGAGGAAACCTGCGCCCAAGTAAGGGCTCTCGCTAGAGACTTCAGTGGGTTTCACGTTCGCAAGTTCAACCAGCCGAACCAGTTGCACGGATGGAGGGCACGCGTGTTTACAGCTTGCGAACGAGCTTGAAGCATCCAGATCATGGTAACTAAATGAATACACGGATGGAACGCGATCCTTAGCCATAATGCCGTTTTCGCTTGTGACCTCCTCGGGCCCCGCGAAAACATTGCGCCGCTGTTGGATTGGCGGCGGGCAAGTCTCTATGCAAAGCAGGCTCTCGCCAGCGGAATTTGGCCCCGCTCGGGCCCTCCTCCGTTTCCGCCCTTCGCGTCTGCAGCCCATTCTCGCGGCCGAGAGACCGAGAGATTCAGTTGCGGCGCAGCGCCGTCTTCTTCGCCCCTGTGCCATCGAGGAGTCGGCTGCCATGTCGTCCGCGGCCAGCGGCAGCGGGTGCCCCCCCGCGGCGACGCAAGCCACCCCGCCCCCGACGCCCGACTTTGTCGCCGAGGTGGTCTCGGCGCAGCCGTCGGAGGCCGAAGTGCACCTCGGCGCGCCGAAGAAGGTCTGCTCTTCTTGCAAATCTGATGTGGGAGATCGTCCAATCCACCTGTTCAAAGCCAAGTGCTCCGCCAAATCGTCTGTCGACACGTGGCGATGCCGGCTGTGCCGCAACCTCAAGAGCCGCCTCGCTCAGGTTTTGAAAGCAGATGAACATCTGGACGCCGACTTCAAGGCGACGGGGGCCGAAGCCAGGATCGCCTTCCACAAGAAGGCGCAATAACTACATGGCGATCAGCTCCGCATCGCGGTCGTCGAGTACGTGGAGGAGTCGAAGGAGACGAGCCAGATGACGGGGTTCGGGGGCACTGGGGAGTGGATCGACGAGCAGGACATCCAGGAGAAATAGAAGGATAAGCCGTCTCAGGGACAGGCGCGCGGCAGATCAAGTTCACGCAGGGCGTGCCTCTCCCCGACACCCATCCAGCCCCCTCCCCTCGGCCGCTGCCCCATCACCTTTTCGCCGCCACCGCTGCGGCGAATGGTGATGCGGGCAAGGGGGGCGGTGTCGCCAGGGGGGCGCGTCGCTGCGTCGACTTGTCCGCCTCGCAGGCGATCCATTGAAATTCGCGCATGTTCTGGGGCGCGGGCCGCGAGTGCTACCTTTACGAGGACTGGAAATGGGAGTCGAGCATGAAGAACCAGGAGACGCACCGGCAGGTGAGGAGGCGGGAGGCGACAGTCGAGTCGGCGCCGAAGAAGATGAAGAGGCCGGCCGCGGTGGCGAGGGCCGCCGAGGACGTGGGCGATGGCGCCGAACCCGACGACGCGCAGAAGAAGTTGACTGAGCCCGAGACCAAGCGCCTCAACAAAACTAAAGAGAAAATTGAGTCTGGCCTTCTGGAGCTCCAGTCCAACTTGACGATGGCAGAGGCGCCTGCGATGGAGGAGTACGTGACCAAGCGATCCCTCAAGGTCGCCCAGCAGCACGTCACCGACTGCAACTTGTGGATCGAGCGCGTCGGGGAGGTGCTCGAAGCGGGCAAGGTCGAGAAGGGCTTCGCACCAGTGGCTTGCCAGGAGGGCGCCGCTTTGCTGAAGGAGATGAAGAAATCGAGCACCCACTTGGCCAATCTCATCAGCGAGGCGGCGTTCGAGGGCGAGGGCGAGGGGCAGGAGCACAGCTGATGCCTGGTGGCATCCTTCTTGTAGTTGCGTTGCTTTCGCGGCGGTCGCTCGTCTGCGGCCTGGCCGGCATTCATTGCGTAGTCGCCTCAGTGTGTAGAGAGTACCCAGCCACCATGTGCATTTGCACAGGCCGTGGCGCATGTTGCACTAGCAACTAGACGCCAACGCAACGTGGAGTATATCTAACAGCAAATGGCCAATAGCAGATCAAATAGCAGAGATACGAAACATACAATCGCAATGCTCCTCCAACTCCTCCTCCCCCCCCTCCTCCTTCCCCTCCCCCCCCCCCTCCTCCTGGTTTTTTCCTCCCGTCGCCGCCGCAGGGGCTCCAAAGATGCCCGAGGGGGCTATCAAGCGCCACAGCCTTGTTCCCAGAGGTCGCTCAATTTACCCTCTGGTTCCCTGCTGCGTTTCACTATGTGCGCATCTTCCTCCCGTTTCCCGTCCACTCTCATGGGCAGCGTTTCTTCGTCGTGACCAACGGCAACCCGAGTAGGATTGAGGGGAAGAGGAAGAGGTCGTCGTCGTCGTCGTCGTTTGGAAAAAACCGTCGACGGTTTTTTTTGTCGTCGTCGTCGTTTGGGAAAAAACGTCGACGGTTTTTGTCGGCCCATTCAAGCTTCCTACAGCGCAGCGCAGCATTAACACACACTCGCACAGCATAGCATAGCATTGCATAGCCAAGCATAGCATAGCATAGCATAGCTCAGCATATAATAGCATACATCGAATAGTATAGCATAGCGCAGCATAGCATAGCATAGCATAGCACAGCATTGCTTAACACAGCACAGCGCAGCATAGCATAGCATAACACAGCGCAGCATTGCATGGCATAGCACAGCGCAGCATAACCTGTATATGTATATGTAGATGTAGGTGTAGGTGTAGATGTGGACGTAGGTGTAGGTGTAGATGTATATGTAGGTGTAGATGTCGATGTAGCTGTCGGTGTAGATGTATATGTAGATGTAGATGTGAGTCTCGCTGTTGATGTTTATGTAGATGTAGATGCAGGTGTAGATGTAGATGTAGCTGTCGGTGTAGATGTAGATGTTGCTTTCCTACATGCTCCAACTCCTAGGTAGGGTCGCACTGGGATAGTTTGGCATTGTGCGTTGCAACACGTTCTGCGTGTGCTCAGCCCCAGGAGCCAATATCGATGGCATGGCGGGCGCGCGGGCGGCGGGGAAGGGGGGGCGACGTAGGGAGAGGGGCCCGAAGGCCTCAAGAGGGCCGCGCAGGCGCCCCCAGGGGCCCCAAGAAGGCCCCACACCACATGTAATGGATATGCTCCTTGAGCTTGCGAGAGGGGATTCCGGTGGTCCCTGTGGCCCCCTTCCGCCAACGTGCAGGGCGCGGGCCCGCAATTATGCCGCGACAAGCCTTTCTGAGTCAAAATGCACGTGGCCCCCTCTCGGGGCCCCTCGGGGGCGTTCCCACCCTGTCCTGGCCCCTTCTTGGGGCCGCCAAGGTCGCCTGAGGGTGCTCCCCCTTGTCCTCCTCGTCATCCTCGTCGCCCCCTTTCTCGTGCCAGTCGTGTTCCCCCTCCTCCTCCTCCTATTCCTCCTCCTCCTCATCGCCTCCTCCTCTCCCCCCTCATCCCTGCATCCCGATGTGCATTCGAATGCTGCGCCCTGGGCCCGTGCCCGCGAAGAACACTGGCAGCGACTTCTCAGCCGCGACCGTTCGAGGGCGTCCATTGCACCTCCTTGCGCCCCATGCCCCCGTGTCCCCCGAGGTAGGGGGGGGCAAGAGCGGGGGGGTGGGGGGAGGGGGGATGGCGGCGCCGCAGCTCGCACTCGCACGGCGGGGATACGAGACATTCCTCGATCTGGCCATTGACCCCGTCCCCCCGTGCAGATGTGCAGCGCAACTGCCTATGCAGATGCCGTGCAGATGCCGTGCATATGCCGTGCAGATGCCGTGTAGATGCCGCGCAGATGCCGTGCAGATGCCGTGCAGATGCCGCGCAGATGCCGTATAGATGCCGTGCAGATGCCGTGCAGATGCCGTGCAGATGCCGCACAGGCGCCGCGCAGGCGCCGCACAGGCACCGCCGAGGTGACATCTGCGCGGCATCTGTGCGGCATCTGTACGGCATCTGCACGGCATCTGCACGGCATCTATACGGCATCTGTACGGCATCTGCACGGCATCTGTGCGGCATCTGCCCGGCATCTGCACGGCATCTGCACGGCATCTGTACGGCATCTGCACGGCAACAGTGTTGGCATGCACGGGGGGAGGGGGGGGAATTCTTCTCGGAACCCCGAGTGGGCGTCAAAATGGCAGCGGGCGGGCCAGAGCCCCTCTTGGCCCTTGGCGCGTCGCTCGGGCGCTTCCCCTGAGGGCCCCCCCCCCCCCGCCCCTGGCCAGGACCCCATCGGGGGCTTCTTGGGGCCCCTAGGGGCTTCTTGGGCCCCATGGGGCCCTTTCTCGGGGCCCTGGGCCCTCAGCTCCTCGGCGCCCTCCGCGCCGAACACGCGAGTGATGTGAAAACTACGCCGGCCGCCGTGGGGGGGCCAGGGGCTCTCGGGGGGCTCGAGCGCCCGCTAGAGAAGCCCGCCGCGCCTGCCAGTGCCGGGGAGGCCCTCCCAGGAGCAAGAGCAGGAGAGGAGGAGAGGCAGGGGGCAGCGGCAGCAGGAACGGCAGCAGCAGCAGCTACAGCAGCCGTTCAGGCTGGAGCGTTTCAGTTGGCGCCGAGTCAGTTGGCAGCCCCGCCTGCCGCCGCCTGACTCTCAACCTGATGGCCCCGAAGCTTTCGAAACTTGCCAAGGAGGCTGAGTGGGCCCAGAAGGTCGATCAAATGCTGAATGCCACGCCGCGGCCGGGCCACAATTTCAAGGCGCGGGCGGTTTCAAATGGCAGAACGTTTCTCGGATTTCAGACCCGCTATCATGATTGAAAAGTTCGGCCTCGTGTTGTTGGCGCAAGTGAGGGGCTCGTGGGTCTGAAACATGTGACGGTGCCCTCTGTAGGATCTCAACGTGCCTGTCCTCGCCCGCCCTGTTGCCCTGGCGCTCCCGTGCATCGGCGTTGACGGGTGCGGGCGGGCCTTGGACGTTATCGGAACGAAGTACGTAGTCAAGCACGCATGCGATTTGGAAGGCTCATGCGAGAAACTGCCGAGCGAACGCCTGGGCCCAAACGTTGCAAAGCTCGGAAAAGTTTGACCTCGAACAGAAAGGGGGGGCGCCTGGAGGGTTGCAGGAGGCAGCGGGGCACGATAGGGGGAGGGCGAGGGGCGCGCGTCCCTAAGCTTCAGCTGCCCAAGGTCTCTGGGGACCTGATGAGAGAGGAAACTGCAGGACATGCACGGGCCAGTATATGGCCTCGTGTCAGGGCCGCCCTGCCCAACATGGGCTGGCAATGGACTACGCAAGGGCCGCTCGGAGACATGGGCTTTGAACATTGGTTTCTCCTGTTCGCCCCCCCCCCCCCCTCCCCGCCCCCCCCCCCTGCCCTCCCAGTCCCGTTTCCTTTTCCTGCTCCTGTTCCTGCTTCTGACTCCTCGTTGCATCCCCGATCTCTGGCGCCGTCAGCTTTTCATCCCAAGAGGACCCGCGGTCAGACATCTATTTGCGAGTTGTCGAATGGGCAGTGAAATGGGTCAAGCAAGGTTCTCTTCTATTCTGCGCGTTGGAGAACGTGACCGGCGCTCTGGCATTTAAACGCCCTGAGGGCGAGGGGCGAGGATGAGTAGGGGCGGCGTGGGGGGCAGCAGCAACGGCAGGAAGGGGTGGGGGGATATGGGGGAGGGGGCGTGATTAAGCTAGGTGCGCTCGCGTCATGTCTGACATCCTACCCCTCCCTCCCATCCCATGCCAGGACGTATCGCCCCTAGGAGCTCTCGAGCCGGGCCCCGCCCCGCCTCGCCGCCCCGCCCCAAGCCCTCTCGGACAGGGATCCTCAACGAGTTGCCCAATTCCAGCGATTCCATTGTCGATAGGGTCATCCTGGTGCTCTCGACAGAGGTTCCTGAATTTCTTTGGGATTACGTGGTGATGTGTGCTAAGCAATGCGGATTACGACAAGACAGGACGCGTGTTTTCGTGCGTGGCACGAGGACTCAGGCGGGGCCGCTGCCGCCGGTCATCCCGCAGACAGGAGAGAGGCTTCTGAGGGGGCCGAGAGCAATCTCCCCCTGCCCTTGTCAGACCCCCCCCCCCCCCCCCCCTGGGACTCGAGGCCACGCGTCGGGAGCGAACGAAGGACGCACGCGCACATGAATTCACGTTGGTTTCGAGAATGCGCATTGCGCGAACGTTCGTATCACGCAGCCGGTCTCGCGGACGTGGGGGGCACGTTGATGGGCGCGTGCGTCTTTTTGTGGGCCCCTAACACGGGGCTCTTGGGGCTCCCAGAGGACTTCGTATCACTTGCGCCCCCGAACGTGGATCGGGAGACGTCGACGCCGAGTCTGCGTCGCAACCTGGGCCAGTACGAGCGGAGGGCCTCTAAGCTGCTCCAGAGCAGGGATGTCAAAGAAGATGACATTTTGGCTTTTTCCTTGGATCGCAGCAGTGACTGCGTATTCAACAACGCGGTGAACGTCAATTGCATTCCAACGCTCACATGCTCAAATCGCTATCTCTTCCTTCTTCGGGCGGGGGACTGCCGCCTCCCCCACAAAGATCGGCAGCTGTGCCGTTACCTTTCCCCGCTCGAAAGGGTGCTCCTCCAGGGCTTCCCAGCTGAGATTCTAAAGCAGCTCCCGTCGCCTGTGCTCATCAAAGCGATTGGGAACGCATGCCCAGTCGATCTGTTGGTTGCTGTTTTGCAGCCGATGCTAAAATCGATTCGCAGCAGCATGGGCAATGAACTGGCCCTCGCGAACCCCGACTCCCTGGGGGGGCTTCCGCCCGAACGCCATTTCACATGGTGGGCGTCCCTCCCCTCTCCTCTCCTCTCCTCTCCTCACCTCTCCTCTCCTCTCCTCTCCTCTCCTCCTCTCCTCTCCTCCTCTCCTCTCCTCTCCTCTCCTCTCTCTCTCCTCTCCTCTCTCTCCTTCCTCTCCTCTCCTTTCCTCCCCCAGTGGGGCCTTGCGTGGAGCTCCCTATGGGTCTGCGAAATGCTGCACTGGGCGCGGCGGATCCACCCTTCCCGCAACCCCCCCCCCCCCCCCCCCGAACACTTACGAGCACGTGGCCCATCGGGGCCGGCGCTTCTCGAGCACTGGCCGCCCCGCGCCGCCGTGGCGCCGCCGCCCGATTTGTTGGCGACCAGAGCCGCCGAGGCCGTTGGCCAGCGGCTGAAGGCGAGCTGCAAACGCGGGAACCAGCCTGGCCAGCGCCCAGCAGGCAGGAGCACCAAGCGCCCTCGGACTCTGGATGGGTTTTTCGCTCTGCAGCGCGGTGCTTAGGAGTGACGTGCCTACTCAAAGCGCGCTCGACATCGCTCGCACAAGTAGTCGGAGTAATTCGTCGCATGAGGCGCATCACAAACGACATCACAAGTTATCGCGCAAGTCATGGCACAGTCGAGCACGCGAGTTCTGTTGAGGGGAGCGGCGTGCCCAACCCGAATTTTGAACATCCTTCTGCCTTCTCCTCCTCCTCCTCCTCCTCCTCCTCCTCCTGCGCGAGGGGCTCAGGGATCCCCGAACCTACGAGGGGCCGCTGGAATCCCCAGCCTCCCCTCGCCGGGGCCGCGGGCCGCGCGACCGCGCGGCCGTTCGGGGCCGTCTTGGGCGCCTCTGGGGCAGCGTCGGGGCAGTTTCGGGCCCGTCGTGCCAGAGGGCGCGAAGAGGGTCTGCAGAGGGCCCCAAGAGGGCTCCAAGAGGGCCCCAGGTCGCCGCCAGGCGCGGGCCCACCACACTGTCACGAGAGGCCTTTCTGTGGCAGAATGCACGCGGCCCTGTCTGAGAGGGGCCCGAAGGCTACATGCGGGCCGCAAAGCGCCCCCAGGGAGGCCCAAGAGGGCCCCAAACCGCATGTAATTGATATGGCTCTTGAGCTTGCGAGGGGGGATTCCAGTGGTCCCTCGTAGCCCTCTTCCGCCAACGTGCGGGGCGCTGAGTTCTGGGGGAAACGACCGCGGCCGACGCTGGCCCCCTCCTCCTCGTCCTCCTCCTCCTCCTCCTCCTCCTGCCCCTCCTCCTCCTCCTCCGTCTCTGCCTCCCATTCCAACGTTTCTCCCCCCCTCCTACTTCTCTTGGCGCACATGCCTTTTAGATCGGGTCAGCGGCGCACAGGTGTGGGCCCACAGGGGGCGAGTGCGGCGCTGCAGCCCGCTGGCCCCCTCCTCCGCAGCGTCTTGGAAGGCTCGGCCGCCTGGCGCATCTTGGCGGGGCCTCCCCTCAGCCATCTTTTTCGGGCAGACCTTCGAAGGATAGCGGGCGGGGGGAGGGCGACCGCAGGAAATGGCAGGGAAATGGCGAGGAAGGAAGGCATATGTTTTGCATTCAGACCCCAGGCGATCCTCACCCTCAATGCAATGCAGTGCGCGCCGTCGGATGCGGCTGGCAGGCTCGCCCCAGTCGCAGGGGGGCGATGGCAACTGTGGCGTGCGTCGCGCGTGTGATGACTTGATCGTCGTTGCCGGGTGCCGTTGCGCTGCTGCTAAGCTGGTCGTCGCCATCGTCACCAGGGGGTGCTGCTGCTGCTGCTGATCCCGTCGTCGTCGTTGCGTGGCACCCTGTCAGCGCTGATTCACATGTGCTCTGGCTCTTCTCTGAAATCTGATCGAACTCGACAGCTACGCGTGCCAGGATAGGCAGCATGAGAGCAGGCAAGGAGGAGGAGGAGGAGGAGGAGGAGGAGGAGGAGGAGGAGGAGGAGGATAAGAAGGAGGAGGAGCAGGATGAGGAGCCGCGCACTATTGGTCACGGCAAGGAGGGGGGGGGGGGGGGCAAACTGGGTGGCAAGGAGGAGGGCGAGGACATCGAAGATGCCAGACATGCCCCCGCCCCCCCCCGCCGTTTTGGCTGCGTGAGACGGGCGACCTGTGGTCGTCGCTGGGTTCCCCCCCCTCGCCCTGCCCGTGCAAAGCGGAAACGACCGCGAGTGCCTGAGGGGAAAGGCAACGAGGAGGATGGGGGGGAGGAGAAGGAGGAGGAGACAAGCAGCGCGCGGTTTCGCGCTCATGGGGCCGAGATATGAACGGTGACGTGCGATTTCCCTGCTGCGCCCTGGCACCCCCCGCTGCCTTTCTGGGCTCGAACTAGTGCAGTTTCAGCTGAATTTCAACGCAGACCGACAACCGATTGCGAGTTCTCAGCACTGTTTGGCAGCATGGCGCCCAAGGCCCTCGACGCTGCCCACGCCTTCCTCGCAGCAAATATCCAGTCGGGAATGGACAGAGGGTCGGCTGATTTTCTGATCCTGGCGCGTCAGCAGCAACACGATGTCGAGCAGTCTCTCATTGTCAACTCGATCACCACAACTGACGCCACCGCGATGCTCAACAACATTCGGGCTGGCGATTTCCCGCTGCCCTGTCGGGCGGCGATCGCGGCCGCCATCAATCGATCGATCTCTTCGGGCAGGAGTGGCGGGGCGAGGGGCGGGCAGCGCCTGATGCAGAACAACGGATTTCTTTAAAGTACTTGCTGGCCCACGAATGGCACGCTCTCTACGACCAGAGCCAGGCGCACGACCAATTGAAAACCCCGCGCGGGAAGGCGGGGGAGGAAGGGGCGGTCGACAGGGAAGAACAGGGAGCAAGGGGGAGAGAGGAAGGGGAGAGGCACATGTACTGGATATGCACCCTGCCCCGCCCCTTATTCGGTAGTTCAACGATGGGGTCCTTCGGGATGGGGGCCTAAGGATAGGAAGGGGTCCAAGGGTGGAATTACGCTGATTGAGGCACCTCGTCCTTCGGGCCCATCCCTCGGGACCCCATCTTTGAACCGCCGACGCATCGGCCCCGCCCAGACGCACCGGCAGAAGATCAACGTGCTCGCTGAGCGCATGATCCAGCTCAACATGACGACGCCGTCCGAAGGGGCGAAGATGCACGCCATCTGTATGTTGCTAATTTGCGATGCCGGCCCCCTCGAGACGAACGTGCAGCCCAACCCCCAAACTGCCATGGAGCTCCCGCGAATCCTCAAGGAGGCTGTGAAGCAGATCCGCAAGGTGAATCCACCCCCGAGTACGCCCCCTGTCGTGAACGACTTCCCTGCAAACCCTGATGCCCTCAAGACGCTTGCGCAGCCTTTATGGGATCGCGCTTACCCCGTCGAGGGCCCAGCGGCCTGCCCCATGGACGAGTTGAAAATCGGGATCCTCCGCCGGCAACTGTCGCTTCGAACCGGCCGCGCCGTCTTTTCGAGCGGCGGCCGAGGCCGCGGCGCCAATATGCGGAGTCGCGGCATGCCGCCCCAGTTCCAGACCATGATGTTCCAGGAGACCAGGGCTCGAAACACACATGGGAGGGGGCAGGGGGGAGGAGGAGGGGGAGGAGGAGGAGGAGGACGAGGAGGAGAAGGAGGAAATGACCTTGAAGAATCGGCACTTGAATAATCCATCAACGCCATCGTCTACATCCTGAAGGATTTGCGCGAAGAAGAGGAGGATAACGAGGATGACGAGGAGGATAACGAGGAGGATAACGAGGGGGATAAGATAACGAGGAGGAGGAGGAGGAGGAGGAGGATTAGGAACAGGAAGATGAGGGGGAGGTCACCTGAATGGGGGTCTGTCTTTCGCCCCAGCAGCAGCCGGGCCCACTCCCGACAATGTGTGATCCCATGGCCCCAGGATCCTCTTCCCCCTCCTTCTTCCTTCTCCCCCCTCTTTTCCTCGTCCTCCTCCTCCTTCGCCTTCTTCCGTTCGGTTATTCGTTTCGGTCCTCCGTATTCGTCTTGGGCCGCGTCGGGGGAGGGAGGCAGAGGGTGGCGCCGGGCATTTTACGACGAATCTGGCATCAGCGCCATCATGTGGCACGTGTTGGGATAGGACAACATCCTGCCTCCTTGCCCTCCCCTGCCTCGTCACCTTCCTCCCTCCCTCCCTCCTCCTTCTTCCCCCCTCCCTCTTCATCCCTTCCCCCTGACTGCGTCGCGGTGACCCACTGCCCTCCCCCCCTTGTGTTCTCCTCTCTCTCTCTCTCCTCCTCCCCCGTCCCAGGGCTGGTAGCCCAAGCTGGCTTTCGATGTGGGTGACTACCTACGAGACCATCCCAACCCAACCCGAAGACCCGAATTTGACCCGAATTTCGGGTTTGGGGGGGGTACGGGTTCCATGCGTTTTTTCACTGTTCCCCGACACCCCCCCCACTGGAAATGGGGGGAAAATTAAGGCCTTCGGGTTGGGTTGGGATCGTTTGGTAGGTGGTGAGTGGGGCTCGTAGCCAGAGCGGGCCCGAGGGACTGCTCAATGGCGGCCCGCTCGCAGACCTGGCAATTTGGTCAGTGATCCTTCGCCTTTTTCCTCCACCTTTCCCTCCTCCTCCGCCCCGTCCTCCTCCTCCTCCTCCTCCTCCTCCTTCTCCTCCTCCTCCTCCTCCTCCTCTTCCTGCTCCTCCCCTTCCTCCTCCTCCTCCTCCACTCCCCAGGCGATGCAGCAGTTCCAGACCCAGCAGATCCAGAACCAAGGTGGCACCCCCAACCTCGTCATGCTGGGGCCGCATGGCCAGGGCAACCCTGCCGGCCGCCACGCCGTCGCGCAGCCAGGCCAGCTGGAGCTGCATGCTGCAGCGGGCCCGCTGGCGCCGCCCGCGAGCCAGGATTTGCTGGCGCTTCCGGCACCGCCGCTGCAGCATGCGGCCGCGCCTGCAGCGGCGGCCCCGCCTGCCGCCGCGGCCCCGCTCGCCGCCGCGGCCCCGCCTGCTGCTTGGGCCCCAGGCGCCGCTGCCTCCAGCGAGGACAGCCTGCCCGCGGAGTCGGTCGACTCCTCGCCCTGTCAGCTCGAGGCGCAGGCAGCCGCTTTGAAGGAGCTGCTGAAGGATGCCTCCAAGAAGCGGGCCGCTGACGCGGCGGAGGAGGCTGCCGCGGCAGAGGAGGGGGCCCCAGCAGCTGGCAAGGGCAAGGGCAAGGGCAGAGGCATGGGCAAAGGCAGGGGCAGAGGCATGGGCAAGGGCAGGGGCAGAGGGAAGGCCAAGGCGAAGCCAAAGGCCAAGACTGCGCTGCCCGCCAAGCCCGCGCTGGACACCCCCCCGCCCAAAGGCAAGAAGGCCGCGACCACGTCGGAGAAAAAGGCCAAGTCGGACACCCTGCCCAAGCCCAAGAAGGCCAGGGCCGCGGAGGGCCTGACCGGCAAGGCTGCCATGGTGTACCCAGGCCACACTAAGGCTCAGGCGCAACGATAGGGGGGATAGGCATAGGGGGGGATGCGTCGACCCCCAATCGTCCACTCATCGCCGATAAGGGCTCGATTGCCCCACCCCGCCAAGGAACGCGGGGATTCACCATCGGGGCCTATCGCCAATCTATCGGCGATGCATCGCCGATTATCGATGTTTCCCCCCCCCTATGCCAACCCCCCCTATCGTTGCCCCTCAAAGGCGTGGGAGGCCCCGAGGACGATCAATAACTGTCGGGTTTATACCGACATGAACTATGGTGGATGGCGCGTCGTGCCCATCGGGAAGCGCTCGGATCGCAGCTTCAAGTGGACCGTCAGGGGTGAGGATGTCTCCAAGGAGAAGTGGTTCGCCCTTCTTAAGTTTTGTGCAGCTGCAGCATAAGCAACGCCTGCAGTATCTGTGTGGGTTGTTACAGTGTGGCTCGCACGCGCTGCAGCGCCACGTAAGGGCGACTGGAACCGCCTCCAGACCTAGACGTCGCAATAGAGAGGGGGGGGAGGAAGGGAGAGGGGCTTACTCAAACGAAACGTCCCATCAGGGTCAGGGGTTAGGGTCAGCGCCAACTCGATTCGAATTTGGAGCCGCCACGGCTCGCGTCTCTGGCTAGGATAGTGGTCAATGCTACAGCCATGCCACCCGACGTACGTGGCACAGATTCAGCTTGAAGGCTCGCCGCAAGCACTATGACATCCCCAACGCGTCCGAAACATCTCATAGTGATTGCTGTCCTTCTCCTGATCCCGCTGCTGCTACAGCCACCGCGCATATTAAGGGCGCGCGATTTCCCCTGGGAACCATTGCGTCATTGCCTCTGCTGCCCATCTATGGCCGCTCTCACTGGCCGACCTCTCAGGGTCGACCTCTCGCGGTACCCTCCCAACTCCCGCCTCTAAGGGTCTTGCGTCGTTATCGCGCGTCCTTACTATACGTGTTGACTGTATTGCTCAGGCCCTTCATCCTCGTCCTGCTCCTCTGCCCCCTGATCCAATTCGGGTCCCCCCTCTCCTCTCTCCTCTGTCCTCCGTCCTCCGTCCTCCGTCCCCCGTCTTCCGTCCTCCGTCCTCCGTCCTCCGTCCTCCGCCGTCCTCCTCCTCCTCCTCCTCCTCCCCCTCCTCCTCCTCCTCCTCCTCCTCCTCCTCCTCCTCCTCCTCCTCCTCCTCCTCCTCCTCCCCCACCTCTTCCTGATCCATTGTCCTCCCCTCCTCATCCTTCCCCCTCCCCCTCCTCTTCTTCCTCGTCCCCAATGCTGCTGCTGCTGCGCCCACTGCTGCCACTGCTGCCACTGCGTACGAGGAGGATGAGGATAAGGATGAGGATGGGGATGAAGACGAGGCCGGAGACGACGACGAGGAGGAGAGGATACGACGGCAAAGAGGAGGAGGAGGAGGAGGACGAGGAGGAGGAAGAGCGGGGGGAGGTGGGCGGAGGGGAGGGACGAGGAGAGGAAAAGGATAAGGAGGAAGAGGAGTGCATGCATGCACTGCCCTGCCCGCCTTGTGGGCAAGTTCGCCTCGTTGACGACACCTGCGGCCGCCTGCCTCCGCGGGGTGCGTGCGCGAAGCCGCGCATTGCGAGGACGTCTCACGCAGAAACGCATTACGTCGGACGTGTTGCATGGATGGAGGCACATTCTTTTTTTTCAGAATGGGATTCTCGCATTCGTTATTCGCCGAGACCGTCTCTCATGGCCGCGGGGAACGAAGACGAGGAGGCAGAGCAGGAAAAGAAGGTGTGGCAAAAACAACAACAAGAGGAACAGCACGGTCAAAAACAATATCACGAGCAAACATATTCCCACGAGCTTGGACCTCCTCCTACTTATGTTCCAGTTACGTTCCAGTTGCGTTCCAGTTACGTTCCAGTTACGTTCCAGTTACGTTCCACTTATTTCCAGATGCATTATTGCAATAACCAATGCATCCGATTATCAGTTGACCGAGCAACTTGTTGCCGTTTTCGTGCGCGCTTGGGTAAGTGTTTGGTAACACACTTATAAATTGATTCCCTATAAACAATGTGGCCCCGGGAAGTTTACAGGCACGCCTGCGAAGCAGCTGGGGGTATGGAGGCCCTTCCGGCGCTGTGGCAGGACACCATTTCTTCGGCCACGGCGTGGCGTGTCGCAGTCAGCAAGTACTGCGATACCACGTGATAGTGGCTATGTGCTCATGTGCGTTTCGTACTCAGCATTTTGCTTGCTTGCTTGCTATAAACAATGTATCTCAAATACAACGTCTGTAACACCATCGGCGCGCGACGTGGTTCGGGGAGCCCTCCAGGTCCCCGTTCCGGTTCTGGTTCCGGTTTTGGTTCCGGTTTGGATTTTTTTTTTTGCGGCCCTCTTCCGTTCTGGTTTTGGTTTCGGTTCCGGTTCCGGTTCCAGTTTTGGTTCCGGTTTCTTTCTTCTTCCTTCTGCTGAAGAAGGGCGCCAAAACGACCACCAGACCCGCACTCGGGCACCGAGGGACACCTGTCGATCTAACCATCGATCTCATTATCGATCTCACTCAATCGGACACCACGGGACACCACGGGACACGGTGGGACACCTGTCGATCTCACTATCCATCTCATTATCGATCTCACCCAACGGGACACCACGGGATACCACGGGACACCTCGGGGCACCACATCGATCACTCAATGGGACACCATAGGACACCACGGGACACCACGGGACACCTGTCGATCTCATTATCGATCTCATTATCGCTCTCACTTTTTGGGACACTACGGGACACCACAGGACACCTCGGGGCACCACGTCGATCTCAATATCGATACGGGGACGCCCAGGACACCCCCGGACACCCGGGACACCGCCCGGCCCAACCGGCCACCGGCGGACGGGAAAACGCCCTGGACACCAGGGACACCCGGGACACCGCCCGGCCCAACCGGCCACCGGCTGCTGGGTACACGGACTTTCGCTCCTACTTCGGCCTAGCTAAAGGAGGATCACGCGCAGCTTCGCCTCGCCCGCACGCACGACACGAACACGAAACCGAAACCGTTTTCCCTGTGGGGGGTCTCCGTTTCACTGCGATCTCACCCCCCAACCTCCGATTCAGTGAATCTCACGCTCGTCTCCTTCGGATTGCTTCGGGAGAGCTTCACATGGTGCCGAGGCTCGAGACGGCTCCATAACTAACTTCGAAGAAGAGCCCAGGAGGGACCCAAGCGGGCCCCAAGGCCTTCAAGGCAGCCCAAACAAGAAGATCCACAAGAGACCCGTACATTTCAAGCCAGCCCATTTCATATTGAATATCTTCCCACCGAGGCCCTAAACAGGTCGAAGCCCCCGCATAATTCCAAGCAAGAGGAGGCCGTCGATAAGAACGAACAACGAAAAGCGAGGACAACCGAGAGAGTCTGGAGGATTAACGAGGAAGGACGTATAAGGAATATTGGAAGACGAGGTAAGGCAAGGCATGGAATGAACCTGTCCGAAAAGCACGCGCAGCTAACAACGCCATGACATGCGCTAGAACCCAAGCGCGCGCGAATCGCGCCCGCGGTTCTATATAATTGAAAGGCTGCCGCCTCTGCCGCCCACCCCAGTTTGTTCTTTCGCGGCAGGGGGCCCTGTGCAATCTTGAAGAGTCACGGTGGATCATGGGATGACACATAGACAACATGTCTACATATACGAAAAAGCGTGTTCTACAGCTGCTGGCGGAAAAACGGGAGGGGTCATTGGGTGTTCCTAACCCGTTCCCCTCCCCCCTCGAAGACCGGGGGGGGTCACTACCGGTTCGGGGGGAGGTCACTACCGGTTCGAACACCCCCCCCCTCGAAAACGGGGGGGGGTCACTACCGGTTCGACCCCCCCGCCCCCCGGCCCCTTGAAAATTTGGGGGGGTCACTACCAGTTCGAACCCTCCCCCCCCACCCCCTCGCCGCCGGCAAAGGATTCCCGCTCCTCGGGACAGTTGGACAATGGTGGGGATGCTGGGATAGTGGTGGGAACGGTGGTGGTGGGGACAGTGGTGCGGGGACAGTGGGACAGTGGTGCGGACAGTGGTGGGGACGGTGGTGGTGGGGACAGTGGTGAGGGGACAGCGGGACAGTGATGGGGACAGTGGGACAGTTGTGGGGACGGTAGTGGTGGGGACAGTGGTGAAGGCGGTGGTGAGGACACTGTGGGACAGTAGTACAGTGGGGAAAGTGGTGGGAGCAGTGGGGACAGTGGGACAGTGATGGGGACAGTGGGGACGGTGGGACAGCACGGTGGGACAGCGACAGGGACAGTGGGACAGTGGTAGGAACAGTGGGGACAGTGGGACAGTGGTGGGGACCGTGGGGAAAGTGGGGAGAGTGGTACCGTGGTGGGACAACGGTGGGGAGAGTGGGGACAGTGAGACACTGGTGGGGGCACTGGTGGGGACAGCGGGGACAATGGTGGGAACAGTTGGGACAGTGGGACAGTGGTGGGGACTAGTGGTGGGGACAGTGGTGTGGGGACAGTGGGGGCGTGGTGGAAACAGTGGGACAGTGGAGGGTATAGTGGTGGTGGAGACAGTGGTGAGGGCGGTGGCGAGGACGGCGGTGGGATAATTGGACAGAAGCACAGTAGGGACAGTGGTGGGGACACTGGGGGCAGCGGTGGGAACAGTGGGACAGCTCAGTGGGACAGCGGCGGGGACAGTGGGACAGCGGGGACAGTGGTACAGTGGATGGGGCCGTGGAGAAAGTAGGGAGAGTGGAACCGTGATGGGAACAGTGGTGGGGACAGTGGGGACAGTGCGACGGTGGTGGGGGCACTGGTGGGGACAGAGGGGACGGTGGTGGGAACAGCGGGGACAGCGGTGGTGAGGACAGTGGTGCTGGGGACAGCAGTGGGGGATGTGGTGCGGACGGTGGTAGGGACCCAGAGTTGTTTGATGGCGGTGAGGGGGGGAGGGGAGGGGTTCGAATCGGTAGTGACCCCCCTGGGTTTCGAGGGGGGGAGGTTCGAACTGGCAGTGACCCCCCCCGGTTTTCGATGGGGGGGGGAGGGGTTCGAACCGGTAGTGATCCCCCTGGTTTTCCGGAGAGGGGGGAGGGGTTCGAATCGGTAGTGGCCCCTTCCGGTTTTCCGGAGGAGGGGGGGGGTTAAGGGGGAAGGGTTTTGCCGGGAGGGGGGGGGGGTCCAGCGGGGGGGGGGGGGCTTCGGAGGGGGGGGATCCCCGGGCTCCGGAGGAAGAGGGGGGGGAATTTTCCATAGTAAAGCGGCGGTGGATCACGCTCTCTCACATGATCGCACGTATGCATGTGAAAATGTCTGCGCATACCTGTGTGTGTCCGTGCTCAGCCACACACTACGAGTTTCTTGGGATTCGCGGAGGCTGTTTGGGGTTCTTCTTGCGGCTTATCTTCGAGGCTTCTTGGGGCTTCGTGCT